GGCTCGCGGGGCGCCGCTCCGGGTGAGGCGTCCACCATGGTGAGGCCCCTGAGCCGCTGCCCGCGCGCCCCGCCGGCCGCCACCGCCGCCGCCCGCCGTCCCTCGGAGCCGCCGCTGCCTCTGCTTCCCCGCCTGCCGTTGCTCCTCCATCTCCAGATCGGATCACGGTGAGGGAAAGATGAGCGAGGAGACGGCGACTTCTGACAACGAGTAAGCGAGCCCCCTCCCCCAGTCCTCCCTCGGCGCGGCCCGGACCCCGCGCACTCTCGGGGGAGCCCGCTGCGTCCTGCCGCGGACACAGATACCGAGGTGCTGGGCGGTTTTATTTCGTGCAAGCACCCTTCTCCATCCTTCCATCACCTCCGCACTGGGGAAGGAAGGGGGTTGAGCAGAGGTAGCATAGCAGTCCGACATCTCCGAGACCGACTGTGGGGGGCTGGAAGTGCAATCGAACACCCTCTGCCACCGAGACCCTGGGCCTGCCCTGCCCTGCCCTGCCCTGCCCTGCCCTGCGCTCTGGCATACCTACCAACACCTTGACTGTCCAGCCTGCTTCCTTCCCTGCTATTTCCCTCAGAAATAACTGTGTGGGAGCACCCCTGCAGCAAACTGCTATTGAATCCTAATTCGATGACTCAGTGACTCTTAAATACCGATTAAGCCATCGCCTCCCCCCCAACTTATGACCTATACAATTTTTGTTTAAAAAAAATCCCAAACCAACAGCGTTAGGGGAACGTTTTTAGCATTTAATAGGATTAAGGATACTTGGAGTGGGGGAGATGTTGAGCTATTATGTTTATCTTTGCGAATGTTGGATTTGTCCCCATCAAAAATACCGAACACTTTAGCATTTGGAATGGTCGGTAGTGGCTTTCGGCTGTATTAACAACCACTTTTATTGCTGAACATGGTGACTTCAACTTCATCAAGAACATTCCGTCTTTTAAGTTTCGCTTATTTGGCTTGCCAAACGGAGCACTGTCCTTTTAAATATTTGTTTTTACGCAGCAGCGGCTTGGAGGAATCATGGTGCTGTAACTGTTTTCTATTGAGAAGAGTTCATTCTGGGCAGAATATTAGCATCCGTTTTCTTGTCATTAAGTTCTCTTTGTTTATCTTCGGAGGGTTGTAAAGAGTTAAAGTGAGTATGGTCTCATCCTTAGGATGCATTCCTTCAAATAAAGTGCAAAAGTGCATTCCTCAAGTCAGACCTTTTCCGGGAAGCTTTAAAGTCCTGGGCGGAAGCCTGTTTAACGTAAAATAGCAAGAAAAATGCAGAGCGGCACTCCCCCTTGGAAAAGCTTGCACTGTGAGGAGCGGGTGTGGACCGAGGTGGATTGCTGCAGTCAGTACATTCTAGGAGCAGAAGTGGCCGCCATGTTCTCTCTTTTTGTGAATCGCCCTCATTTGCATAGCACACTCTTCATTCATAAAAAAAAAAAATAATTAAACATCCATCACCTTGGACATTTTGCAAGGATTTCCTAAGAAAAAATTCGAAGATTGTTTGTCTCTGTAGATTTTTGAGTTCAGGAAGTGAGCAGAATTTGAAGTTGTAGATTGAATTTCAGAACATAGGCACACACAAACAACTAGCCCAGTTCTCAGAATGTTGACACAGTTATGTGGGAAATATCAGTTCGGGGAGGTGCTGGGATCACGTGATCGCCTCCATTCATAAAATACCTGGCTGTCCATTCACAGTGCAGTACACTGTCATTGCCTTCCGCCGACTAGACCTACTTTGAGAGAGATCAGGGAGCCGGTGTCAGATAGTGCTGGGTTAGGAGAAAAACTGCCGAACTGCTGAAGGGAATGACGGGAACTTTTACTGGTATTTGTAAAAGCCGCTGAGATCAAAATCTAAGATCTATTTTAGAAATGGGAAAAGACTTCCTAGCAGTTCAGTATTTTAAAAAGTACTTGGTATTTCCTTGCTGCTGAGAAGCGAATGAGGGCTTTGAATTAATGAAGGTATAGAATAGATTGCTATGTGGGCCTTGTTTTGGTACTGTACATGAATAAATCGAAAGTGCAAGTAAGTGAGAGGGAGAGAGCTAGCCACAGACAGAGAAATAGTTCAGTAGGTAGGGCTGCTGTTACACCAAAATGAAAAAATATTCCCGAGGTTTTAATCCTCAAGATGCTGATACTAAACAAACAACTGGGGTAGCGTCCCTCCCACTCCTAAGGGTAAAGGGGCAACTTGGAAATTAATCTTTCTTAATACGTAAGCTGTTCCTTAGGAGCTGTATAATACCATTAGTTTTGGTAGGGAAAGAACAGTCTATCTTAGCATATATTGCAATTTCAGAGTTTTTTCATAGGGCTAAAGTCTGGATGGTGGTGGTGTTTTTAAAAAACCGTCATATTAGAAAGTGAATTGTGTTCATCTGCTAATGAACAGCTCTTTTTCTAGAGCTGGCATTGTTTATTGTGCCTTAGCTCCACTACAAAGTGGATGTCTTTTGTGAGTAGCTTTTAATCTGATCATTTATACATCTCACTTTTAATGTACGAGGTAACATTTTGAAATGGAAATTCTTTATTTGTGTGTACATTATGAAGAAGCAAAAGTGAGATCTCAAGGCCTTAGTGGAGTTGAAAATGGCCCTGTAAGAATTTCTTCTTTAAGCCATAGTTCATTAGGGATTTAATTACAGTAGGAATTATTCTGTTTTCAGCCTTTTAAAAGGGGTGAAAATCTCCGGTATCTTGAGAAATCAGTAACTTTTTAGGTTAATAGCCATTGTAAAATGCAGTAAGACCTTTAGAGTCTTCATTGTCAAATCCATTATCTGAATCTAGAGTTAGAGAAGCAGGTGAGTGGTGAGTCTTTGAGATTGATTGTAAATCTAATCAAGATTAGTGGAAGATCTGTTCTGTATAAGGTTTTGTCTTAATAGGGACAAGCCAAATGAGGGAAAAATTAACGAGAATAGGACAGAACATTAGACTTTAAAATTTGTGTTAAAAAATCTGACTTTTCACTCTGATGAAATGACTCAGCCTGTCGACCTGAGTTCCATTCCTAGGACTCAACAGTGAAAGGAGAGAACCACTTATGGAAGTTATCCTCGAACCTCCACACACACATGGTGGTATCTTTGTATTTGCACAGATATATATAATAAAAATGTCTTTTAAAAATCCAGCTTTGCAAAAGTCATTCAGATGCACCGTAGAGCAAAGGCTTTGCCACCAAAGGGGAGACCAAGCAGCACACCATGTGATTTTATTTTTGTAGGTAATTTTTCATTTTGTTTGTTCAATACTCCAGATGTTCCGGCAGATAAAACGGTATCATATTATACTGAATTAGCCTTTTAAGTAGAATTTTGTACACTTACAGACCTATTAGATAATACTTATGGCCTTTGTACTTTGCTGTTGAGTGCTTGTCATTGTGTGTGTCTGCCCTTTGCCAGGTTGGCGGAAGCACTCGGAGAGGTGAAACAGCTGAAATAGTGAGCATTTTACTTACTGTGCTGACATCAGCCACAAACATCTGCCATGTCAGTACCAGGATTTTTAATAGCAAGTTGGGATTATAGTAGATTTCAGAACTAGGTTAATTAGAATTAAATCACTTGGGATAAACTTGGTGTGATATAGTCTGGATTAGAACCATTTTCCTGTCAAAAGCAAATTTAATGCTTCATTAAAAATGCACCTCATAAGGGTTATTCTAAGGGTGTATGTGAGCATATGCATTTTCTTCCATTCTTCAAGTGTCTGTATATATCTATGCATACATTAAACATACGTGCTTGGAAAGTATTCTAGAACGGAACAGAAACAGTCAAGTAATGTATCTATATAGATATCATGTATGCATAATGTAAAGCTTGCATCGAGTTCAGTTGAGCTCCATGCCTGCTTCACCTTTTAACTTAAAGCTTTCTGGTTTTGAATTGTATTTAAAATTTTATTTATATTATGTATATGAGTGTTTTGCCAGCATGTATGTAAATGCACCCCTGTCCTGCAAACCTACAGAGGCCAGAAGAGGGCATCAGATTCCCTGAACGGAGTTCTGGATGTTTGTTAGCTGGTATGTGGGTGCTAGAAACTGAGCCCTCATCCTCTGCAAGTGCTCTTAACTGCTGAGCCATCTCTCCAGCTCCTTGAATTGTATTTTTAAACACTGTATACTAACATGGCTGAAACCTCACCCCCATTTTTTTCGGACATCATTTCTCCACAGAAGACTTTCTCATTTATGCCATATTCACCAGTATCCCCTCCTGTATTGCTGTGTACTTGATGCATATTTATAGATCTAAAAAAAATCAGTGTTGTAATCATTTACTCATTTCTGTGTTCTTTATTATGGTTCTCTATTTCATTTCGCCTAGCACAGTGCTTGTTACAGCATTTGTGTGTGTGTGTGTGTGTGTGTGTGTGTGAGAGAGAGAGAGAGAGAGAGAGAGAATTTATATATTTACATTTTATCTAGAAGGTAGGATAAAAAATTATGGGACTAGTCAATTACATTGTCTTTTAAAGATTTACCTTTTGATCTTTTAAGGCCAAATTGGCTTTTTTTTTGGCATGGTCTATCTCCTCAAATTGGAGAAGTAATGGCTGAGACTCAACATGCCCTAGATGTTCTCGGAGTGTCTGGATGTGGTTGGCCTCTGAACTGTGCGGTACATCTGAAGAACCACATCATCAACAAGGTCGTTGGCTGATTACCCATTTTGAAGTTTTAAATTTCTTTCCTTTCATAACCCCTTTCTTGTGCGAACACTGAGGAACTGACTCAGGATGAAGTTCATTGGTCAGGAAAGGGCGAAAGTTAAGGTTCCCTAATTTCATGCTGCTTTTGGTGACTGGTGACTGAGAAGTGCCTAAGGGGAAAGGTTAACAACTTATCTCTTACTAGGTTAACTTGAGTGACTAGCAGGTTTTACTGAAGGTGGGAAAGGGTTGATTGAAATGTACATGGCTTCATTCTCCAGTAGGAGGTAGAATTACATTAAAATTGCTGACTTAAGAAAGTTTACACATGCTAGAGTAGTATAGTCAGAGACTATAAAAATTGTTGTTGTTCTTTGTCCTTGTTGTTTTGAGACAGGATGTTACTATATCACCCTGGCCAGCCTGGAATTCGCCTGTGTAGACCAGGCTGGCCTCAAACTTACAGATGTCTGCTTACTTCTGCCTCCAGAGTGCTGGGGATTAAAGGTGTGCACCACCACCTC